AGAACTTTCTCTTTTTTTACTTCTCACACTGACAGAGCTTCTGTGACAAGTTTCACCACTCTGCATTGTTGTCTATCCCTTGCCTTTCTTTTCTGAGGTTTGACAAAGATTGCAAGGAAAGTTAAAAAAATTTTAAAAAAATTAGAGATGGTGAGTTTATAATACCACAAAATTTGACAAAGTAGGAGGCTGGTATATAAAACACAAGCACATCAATATTACTTTTTAAGCTTGCAAGAACTGTATAAAAATCCTTTTATAAAGATACATTTCAGATACATTTTAATGAAATAAATATATAATTTCTACTAAAGCAAATGAATAAAGGTTTTACATACCCTAGTTTAAGTGTAAATAATGTAGTTGCTTTTGTAAGTAGACTCCTTACAATATATAATACAAAAATTAGATAAATTGCTGTAAATGTGCAATTTCTCTGACCTTACTCAGATTTGCAGCATTCCCCTGGGTGTCTATCACTGTTGTAATGGAGATTATGGAGATACTCTCACCAGGAATAATTACATCTTTATTAACACAGTCTAGATTCTTCCATAGAAAAAAAAAACAAAAAAAAAAAAAAAAAAAAAAAAAAAAAAAAAAAAAAAAAAAAAAAAAAACCCCAAAACCCACACTTTCTTTGTGAAAATACTGACTGGTATCCTAATTACCATAAAAGTAACCAGGAATGCTGAAGTAGAAAATTATACTACTTTTTATACTAAACATACCTTGAAAATATCAATATATGCACTGACATGTAAATTTAAGTTTTACACAGTTTTGATGACTGTTACTTAATGACAGACAGAAAGAAAAAACAAGGAAGTATTTTTCACCCCCAGTATCTGCCAAGGTAAGTGGTTATGACATAGCAAATTTCCTGAGCTTTCTCATGGTTACCAGTGAGGCCATTCCAGTGTTTCTGATACACTTCTGTCAATATTAATCTTATTCCCCCAGGTGGGCAAAACTCTCTAGCTTAACCCCTCCTAACATTTTAGCATATGAATACAAATACACTTTCAGATGCATTTAATCTTTTCTTTAATTATGCAGCTTCATTATTACTAATGGCATCTAAAAATGTTCATTCCTCAGATTATAACTGCTGCCAACATGTGTAAAATAGCTATTGTTTATTGTTGCACCAGACAATGTCTATAATCCAGTAAAACAAGGAGAGCACACAAACATTCCCTTTACTAGTTAGAGCAAGCTTTGCAATACAGAGAATGGATATATTCAGCCCTCTTGGTTATTTTACAATGGCAAGTGAACTTCTCCTCCCCTCCAGGGCATTTCTAAAAATTCTGATTTTTTGAGGAGAAGCTCAGCCTAAGACTGCAATTGTGCTGGGCTCCACTGGTGAAAGGTTTTCTTTCTCACCTCAAAAAAAACCCTCAAATCATCTTTTCCTGTGAGATAAAAAATTCTAATATGCCAAAACTCTGCCATCTTGATAATACTAATCTAAAATAAGAATGAAGCTATTTAAATGTTTGCAAGACATTGCATTTGATGAAAATAGCTACTATTACCTTATCATATCCAAAGTACCAGAACAAGGAAGAAATTAAGGTACACTTTCAAAATATTAATAGAAAGTACAGCTCATTATTGTAAAACTAAAACTAAAATAAGTATTGTGTATTTTTATACAGAAATAAGTGTTTTCAGAAAACACAGGAGAAAACCATATGTCTTTGAAGCAACAGAACTTCTTAAATTGCATTAAAATTTTTATGTGTCAAATGATTTACACAAATTTTCAACATTTATTGAACATATAGCAATTAAGTCTACTGAGTTGAATAGGGTTTTTCATGCCTTCCAAAAGGAAATATTGCCTGGATGAATGGAGTGAGTGGGCTGAAAACTGCTTGAATCCCAGGCTGGAAGGGCACTCAGTGATCAATGGCTTCTGCCCTGCTGGCAGCCAGCAATGAGGATAGCCCTGCAGGGATCAGTTCTGTGGCCATGTCAAACATCTCACCAGTGACCTGGACAAGGACATAAGACTACAAGATAACTAGCTCACAGATGACATCAAATCAGGAGGATGAGATGGCATGCCAGATGGCAAACCTTCAACTAGAAGGACACTGCTCAGCTTGAGGACTGGGCCAGGAAACACTTCACAAGGTTCAACAGAAGTGAAAGGTCTGCTCCTGGAGCGGAAAAATCCCACGTGCTGGGAAGAGAGATGTCTGAGCAGCAGCCCTGCCAAAAACCAGACAGCATTTATAAGAAGTGCCAGGCTGCAGAACAGCCAGTGGTGCACTCTCTTTGCAGCGTGGGATACTCAATTCTGCACTACACGGGCAGGGGATGGGGAAAACTCACCATGCCCTCTCACTCAATGCTGGGAAACGTCACAGGTTGATTAAAAATTATAATTTGGATAGGAGCCCTCATACCTATACACAACAGAAACAGCACAAAATATTCCACAATGTCTGCCAATGTTAGAGGAAAAATGCAATAACAGATTTTGCAAAGAATACAGAGAACTCTGCATTATGAGAAACTGCTTCATGGTACATCTGCTTGAAACTTTTTCATTTCTGATACAGACTGCAAAAATCTTGTGTTACATCCTTTTGTGTCTTTTCTACTTACTAAGTAACTAATTTAACATCCTCCTCACTTAGAAAGTGCCTTCACTAGAAAGATTTAGCATATCACAGATTTTTTAGATTTTAGAAGTGTTAGTGTTATTTTTCTTTCAATGAGTGTCAAATGAACAATTGTAAAAAACAATTCAGCAATAGCATTTTTTATGTCCACCAAGTTTCAGTTTGCATTGCAAATAATGACATTCACAGAGCACTGCCAGAATGCTGTAAAACTAAAGACCTGTATTTAAATTAAAGATGTGAGAACATGCAGTTCTGTCCCTCAAATGTGCTTCAATCATACACAAATAATACTTCCTCATATCACGGTGAACTGCACACAAGGACTGGAGTAAAAGATGGGCAAATGTTTAATAGAGTGGCTTTAAAGAAAATTACATAGAATAATTAATTGCTATTTTACACACAATGTGCCAGTTTGATTCTTTGTGTAATATTGTTAAAGCAAGCAGGATGACCTTAATCAAATATTATTTAGAAAACCAACTTTGATATATTTTCATTTTCTTATAATAACAATTGCAGAACTAAAATAAGAATAAATCAGACTAGGTTCAACTAGGAAAGAGAAAGATAACATTCTTTGAATAACTTAAAATTTTCTTTGGAAGGAATCCCAACTATTTACACAGGGATTTTTATACCAAATTTTTATTAAAAATTCATGCGCATTCTCAATCCATAAGAGTCTACTTAGTATTTTCTGTAGGCTTTCATAATTCTTTCTGATAACAGAAGTGTGTGAAGAAATTGGAACTGATTAGCAGCTAGTTACTTTGCTATATGACCAACAGGGAGGTCTAAATTAATATTAAATGACCAAGGTAATCTCAGTTGTATGGGGACCTGACTTGGAAAAAGGAGGAAGCAGGCTGAGAGCTGGGGATGTGTGGTGCACAATGACAACTGTTCAAGCAGCTCTGCTGGCAGATCACATACCTATCTAGTAATTTTATTTTTGGTATCAGGACTGGAATCAATCTTAAATAGAAAAATCATATGTCATGTATAGGCAGAAAGCAATACAGAGTCTGTGCAGGAAATCTAACCTATCACCAGTGGTGGGATGTGTAACACATGCACAAATGGAATACTAGATCATACCATATGAAGCTCTTATCTAATAAATTACTGGGGTTTTTTTCTTTTATTAAGATCTGCCCTCCTACTGTTAATGTTTCAGATAATTTCAAATAGAAAGTGCCAAGTCTTCTCCCACTTATATTAATTGAGGCTTAGCAACACATAAGAGACTTTGTTTTTAATCAAAAAATATAGAACCACTTTATGAGAAAATGGAAAGTATATTTTGCACAAAAGCTGTTTTGGCAACACAAGTCGAAGTTGTTAGATATAACATGGGAGCCTCTGCCATAGTCTCAAACATAATTTTAGACAAGAAAAGTGAATGGGGAAAAAAGGGAGCCAGGAAAATAAACAGTGTGTGTGGCAGAAAACAGTTGCATTTACAGTACTATCCAGCTTTTGGAGAGAAACCAGAGACCTTTACATGAAATCTTTCTGTGCTTTTAACACTGTTGCAAAGCTTCAGGGATTTCTAATTGTATAAAGTTAGGGGAAAATGAGATTCACTGAGAGATCTATGTCCAGCAAGTACTAAATGAGACGACTGCATCTCAGCATCAGTCATTTAGAATATGCACTTTCTGACTAGCAACTCATATGCATTTACTAAAATCAAAATTCAACGAGCTAGCAGTTTCTTTTCAGTCTGATTATACAGTCAGCATCCCAAAGCTAAAGCATGTACAGTAGGTCTCATCCTTTGAAATACAGTTAGATGTTTGGTTATCTTTTGACTTCAAATAATGCAGGTCTTCCAGTATTTATATTGTGATAAAATTCTAGAGCTTTAAAAATCTGCCCTTCACACAAGCCTAAGCAGAGATATTTTAAAATTACTTAATGTACATCTTCGTATTTTGTTAAGGCATGAACAATGGCATATGAATGGGAACAGCTTCCAGAAAAGCATCTTTTTGACAAAGGCCAGTCCAAGCACATCACACCAAAGGACTAACCTGAAGCCAGAAATGACAGTGTTGTGACCCAAGAGTTTTTAACAAAAATAGTTGAAACAAAATGGAATTTTTTTCTCTAAAAAGTGAAAACAAAAGGGAATTTTTTTTCTTTTTTTTTTTTTTTTTTTTTTTTTAATTTAAATTGTATTACTCTTAATGTCTGTTTAAAGCACCGGTTGCAGTTTTGCGCTTACCACCTCTTCCGAGTGACTTTGGATATCTCATCAGCTTCTTTATTTCTGAATTTTCAGTATATGAAACTTCAAAAGGTTTCTGTTTCCTTTTTTTCTTTTTTCCTTTTTTTTTTTTTTTAGTTTTGATGGCTGCTGCAAAATTAGAAAGATCCAGAAGTGGTCAGGGGCCTGGTCTAATGCACTTCCAAAAGTCCATTATAAAGATGAGTATAAATGCATATGATATGGTTTTTCTGTAGACCCACAAACCACACTTAGCTATAAGAAACATATTGTGCATAGTTATTTTTTTTCTTCAGAGTGATATGTTTACTAGGTCTACATTCTCAGTTTACCAGAGTACAGGAATGTCTACTTTACTAAAGCCGGGATCCTTTCGCAGTTCCCAGTAGGTTTCATTGGTAACCCAGGCTTCCCTTTGATTAGTATCAATAACTTTTCTGTAGAAAGAGAAAAAATAAAAGAGAGATAAAGAGACAAAAAAAGTTTTTACGTTATATTACAGATATTGCTTTTATACAATAGAAAATCAAATTCCACACTTCTCTGATCTAACCCAATATTAAATCAAATTTTGTATTTCTAAAGGACACAAGAAAAGTCAGAAATACAAAAACAAAAATCAACCTCTACCAATATAAACAGCAGAAGACAGAGAAGACAGTCAAGACTGAAAATCTGTTGTTTGATCTGTGAGAGGAGGTCTTAGAGCCACCTAAAACCCCTTTGTTCACTACATATTCTGATTATGTGAAGGGGATTATCCAACAGATATAGCTTGCAGAATGTAAGCTTTTAATCTTTTTTTTTTTGTCTCTGCATTTTGCTTATATTATGCTACAGCTGGATCAAGAACATTCAGTCTTTTTACTTTTGATTTCCCATAATAGACATGAGGCTACTTGGCATGGCTATTCCTTGTTTCAGAAGAATGCTTAATTAAAAAACAGCCAACAAAAAAATACCTTCATTCAAAAATGAATGTATTTTAAGTGTATACATATATATTTATATATACATGTTGTAGATATATATATATGATGTTGCTGTTCAGGTTACACAGTATTCCTTGTCTGTGCAATGACTTTAAAATGTCCCTAGTTAAATCTTAGATCCTAATATTATACTTCCAATTCCACTTCAGTAGGAAGGCTTATATAGCTGAGGCCCATTATGAGAAAATTATCATTCAGTTATGAAGCTTAACTATGTAAAAAGCGCTTCAGAGAAGCAGGTGTCAGATATCTTATTATCTTTCTTGAAACTCCAACTTTCCAAGCTTTCATGATTATCAGTCAGTGCTGGCAATTCTTGTGGTACTTCATCCAGTTACACGCTGGAAAACAGAGACTTACTACTCAAATTAAAAGACTCACTTAAAAAACTTGGGTACATATTCAATGCCATTTTCTTCCATGTACCGCCTCCGAGCTCTCTGGAGTTCCTCTATTCTTTGTTTCTCAGATGCTGCTGCTTCTATATTTCCTTCCTCCAGAAGCCTGTAGGAATAACAGCAGGCGGTATAGAAATCACAGTGTCTAGTCCAAGGGATTTTCCAGCACCCATCATCACAAAAGGCAAGCAGAAGCCAAGTGTGTTGTCAGTGTTGTACTTTCAGGTCCAGCCTGAGACGCAACTCCCCAGCTACGTGTACCTGACGTACAGCCTATGGCACACGCTTTGTTCAGCACTTTCAGCATATCACAAACACTGAAGGACTATGAACTGAGGATTTGGAGGGAATTAGTGTTGCTTCCATCCATAGAAGAAGTGCACAGCATTTCAGAGCCTGTTTTCCAGTTTGTCATGAGGAATCTGCCCCAAAGTTCCACTATAGCTCTGTGGCATCAACAAGAAGCTTTCTAATTTCCCTCAGCTGGGAATACTATCTTCTCTACTAGCAGAATCCTCCACAGTTTAATTCAGACTGCAGTAAGGACACAGACAGAATTCAAGGCTCAGCCTTGAGCCCACCAAATATTAAATGTATAAATAAGCATTCTTGCCTTTGATCTGGCCTGAATCGTGCATCTGTTGCAGGAAGAAGATCTTTCAGTAAAGGATCTAATTCATTGAGCTCAATAGCAAACCTCGTGAAGCCATAATAACGCTCATAATTGGTTGGCATGGAGCCTGAACACACAAGACAAAGAAAAAAGCTTTTAAGCTATTACTCTAAATATGCAAGAGATTCCTTTATTTATGAACTTTTAACAGAAAAATAATTAATAAATTTTACTCTTACAATTAAAAATCATCAAAAGCTACTCTCTAAGTGAAACAAAATTCACTAAATATTAATATCAACTGCTTTTCCTGCAGAGATTGTAATTACATTTTAATAGACTCAAAGTTTTTATGATCTTCCTCTCATTTTAAATAAAAACTAATGTTTTCAAGCTTTTCAAATTAAAAACAGTTTCCCGTTCCCCAGATAGTGGGTCTATCAAATGTCTGTCTAAAACCTAACCTTAACTGGTCTTCAGAGTTCATTTTGGAACTTAGCACACACTCACAGACTGATTTGCCATTACAAGGATTCAGAGCAGACATTGCAGAGAGCAGGGTGCAAAGTACAGTTCAAAATACCAAAAACACAAAGTAGGATTCAAAATTCTAAGAACAGTAATTCCTGGATAATGCATTTATGAAAGATACAGGTGCAAAGGATGACTAATTCAACCTCAGGCCTCTAAGCAAGCCTGAGGTTGAAATCAAATCCTGAAAGTCCCAGGTGTTCACCACCTCTAAAGACCAATCCTTTAGGCTAATAAAGCTTTAGGACAACAAACTCAATAAATGCCTATTTGGTGAATCCAAAAAAGTTACCCTGCTCTCTGTCAGAAGGCAGACAGACCTGTCCAGATGCCCAATTTTTTTCTTAATTTTATTCTTCTGTTGACCCCAAGGTCCCAGCATATCTGACCAGGAGTCAGACTGAGATGTAAAAGATTACGCCCTGTAAGAACATTTCCACTTACCATTATTATAAACCCACGTAAATTGTTGTTTGCCTAAACAGGGATTTAAATTTCTCTAGTATTATTCTGTGCATTTAAAATCAAGTCTAAAACAGCTTCACACCTTCCAGAATTTTTTACAAGCCTCTTACCTGGTCTCCATATGCATTTGGCTGAAGGTGCAACCCCACAATAGAGGCCTTCATGCCACTTTCCAAAAAGGCGGTGAACCACCTTCCCTTCTTGATCTATCACAACGCCCTGGACCTCATTTACATTTGAATTCCAGTAGTTCACCTGCAAGTTTAACCAAGAATGACTAGCTCATGCTGCTTTTCCAACAACCCATTGTACCAAAACACATAATGAATGCCTCTTGGCATGTGGTGCCAGCTGTCCAAATTCTGCGTTGGAACAGCTCACCTGGAACTAAGAATACCAAAATTCAAAAATCATATGGTCCTAACACTGACTGATTTATTATAGGAGAAACACTCTATAATTAGCTATGTGGTTTTATAAAAGCATTTAAATTAACTGCACATCTGGGAACTACATTCTCATTCATTAAGACAAATCCCATACAATTCAAAAAATGACCCTTTGCCTATTAGAGCCAGCTAACGCTCCTCTTCCTGCATGAGGAGGCACTGAATATACCCATACTTGCACAGGAATCCTTTAATGGTGCTGAACACTACTGTATGCAGCAGGAAGACATTCAGCCAGTATTACATTTCTGTTTCTCTTCTCTGTTTTGCTTTTCTTAGACACATTTAGCTCTTACACCTTCATCCAAGAGCCAGTTGCCCATTCTCAGATTATCCAACAAAACACAAATTTCAGATTTATGTTAACACCCCATTGCTAACACTAAAATGGTATCAATGTCTTTTGTTGCAATGTGAAGACAAATTTATTTTTAGGGAAAATACTTGATAGTAAGATAGCTATATAAACTTCTATTTTTACATATGGTCCTTGCCTGGATATTAAAATACTATAAACCAAAGCAGCAATACATAATGTAAAGAGATAAAATATTGACCAGCAAATTCTAGTAGAAGGAGAAGCAAAATGGCATGGTAGTGTATGGTAACTTTGTGTTTTCATTGTGTTAATATTTTCTTAAAAGTGACATTTCATTTTTAATCAAAACCCAGCAACAGTACAGCACACATCTATACAGCAATGGAATATACTGATATAAAACGTTCAGTGGAACAGAATCATACTAACTGACATAGTATTCTCATTTGACAATTTACATTTTATGAATACTGATAAAAGGAATAAAAGATAAAATGTGGAATATGGACTTCAGGAATAGTGAAGAAACAGCTTGATGTACCCTTAAATTACACGGTTATATGAATATAAGATATATATTAACATCTGTATGTTACCTTGACAAAAGTGAGTTTACAAATACAAACACTGCTTTTTGTGTTTCTGATGGTTATCTCTCCGTAGTGCTCTATCCATCTCCTGCCACTAAGAATATTATGTATGCAAGTAGTGACTTTGTTCCAGACATAGTAATCTCCATACCTAAGAAGAGATTAAGAAGTAGTTGGTAACATCTCTTCATCATGATCATTACTGACAAAAAAGTAAAACATTGCTCCTTTATTGTAAAAACAAACCACATTGCCCAAAAACACCCACAGAGATGACAAAGTCCTGTATCTGGTTTCTAATCCTCCTTAGAGAAGCTCACCTAAACTCCAGGGCACAGAAAGCTGCTATAAACCACAAATAAACACATTATAAGCCACTGAAGCCCTGCATGGCCTATTCACTGTCCTCAGAGCAAGACGTGCTTTGGCCACAATTCCTATAGGGGCAGGACAGTGACCCCAAGATTAACATAAGGCTGAATTGAGACTATAAGCAGAAAATGCAATTAAATCACAAATAGAACAAAATACATATGAAAACCATAGCACAAGTGTGGGAAATTTGGACAGGAATCAAGGAAAGGAAGTAGGTAGCCAGGAGCACACTGGCACAGTCAGAGCATCTCTACCATCTACCTCAAATTTATGAGACGGATAAAAAGGTGAAGTGATGCTATACTGGTAGAGGCAGAAAGAAAGGCTGGCTGCAATGTACAGGAGCAATAACACCACTACAAAACCAGAAGACATTTAAAGTACCCATTCCTTGCATATTCTTAGCATTTACAAGCTGCAACTAGTCTCACTGGTGGTGAAACTACTGCTTCTCACTACTCTGCCAACAGGTCCATACAAATTATGGAGAATATTCTTTGGTTTATCCACATTTTGAAAAAAGGCCTTTCATGATCTGGTTGTTCTGAGGGATCACTCAGTGGCATTCAGAGCCTTAGGACAGCACCAGCTGCTGACAGTCCTGCACTGCAGCCTTGATCTGAACAGCTCATCACTGCTGGACACATAAAACATGGGTTCTCTCTCCCAAAACATTTCTATCCCTCTCTCCCCATTACTTTCTAGAGCGTATATTTTTCCTCCAAAACCAAAAATAGATCTTCAGGCTCAAAAATGTTCCACTAGTCCCACCTGAAAACTAAGAAGAGATTAGAGCTGGGCACCAACCCTCACCAGTACAAGCCACATCATGTCTGCTTACCCCAACCCATTCACAAGGCAGCACAGACTGGAGTGCACCAAAGGTTGAAAACAAGAGGAGAGTAGCTTACTTTGGAAGAGTCACATTCAAGGTTCCAACAGGCAGAATTTCCATTGATTTTCCCCAGAATTTGTTTTTCCACCTGATATCTGAATATAACAGTGAAATACTTAAAAAACTGAAATGACCAAGGTCTCCCCCTTGCACTGATCTGTGTGGCACCAGACTACCCAGTTCAAAACAAAGCAGTAGATAGTATAAATTTGCCATGAAAATACTAAAGAAAAAATACTAGAAAATTAAATGCACCGCAACAACACTAGGTCAGAAAAACTAAATATAAGTTTAATTAAGAATCATGTCTGTGCTGCATGATTGTCAAATGTCTTGTGCAAACATTCAATACAAATTAAAGGCATACACCAGTAGGCACAAGGAAAGAAAGAGTAATTTTTTCAACTGTAAAAAGAACTGCCTGTGTTTGTAAGAAATAGTAATTTTATTGGTAAAAACTTTTAAATGGGAGAGTATAAACATGCTGCAAGTGCAGGGGAAGCTGTAACATGTTTGCTCACTGTTAATGAGAATTTGGAGTAAAATAGATCATCAGTTTATAATACGTCACTTCAAAATAATAAGTATAGAAATTCTGGGTAAGTTCCAAATGAAAAGCTCAGCTTTCACAAATTTTTTACTTCACAATAAAAAAGGAGTTACGCATTTGAATTAAAAAGTATACCTTGCCAAAACACAAAGTTTTTCGATTCACAGTGACAGGCCGAAATGGGAGGATGGTGGCTAACCTGAAACACAGTTTGGTTGAGTCAAAAACATTTAATTTTCATTCCTAAGACAGTACAATTGTTATTGCAATATGAAAATACTAAATAGCTCATGTTGCTATGAAAACAGATACAACTTAAGTGATTGTACTTAAAACAATTAGCGATTACTATAAAGATGTATTCCTTCTAGCCTTTAATGAAGTCCACTCATATCAACAATATTTATTTACTTCTAAGAAAGCAAACCATTCTAAGTAGAAAGAGAAATGGGATTATTCTATAAAATGAAGAACAAAAATGTATAAATCTAAATAGGAATGTCTATCTAGACACAAGGTTTACCTGCTCTGAGAAAAATCGAAATCCTTTGTCTTCTCTAATACATTCATAAGTTTCACCAAGCACTGGGTTAAATGGCTTGCTTCCTGCTCTAAAATACGTAGAGGCATAGCCTGATGCTGCAAAGGCAGCTATGAGAACCTGTAAAAATACAGACCAGAACATGAGAGGAGGCAGACACTCTTGTGTATGTGCCATCACTGTGTGGTAGCACACAACTCTTTCTGCTCAGAGTGACAACTGGAATAATGAAGCATGCCTGACAGTGAAACCATGCATCCCAGCCAGAACCAGTATAAACTTTATTTCTTCTGTTGATATAATTTCTTTTTCTTCATGGCTTCATTCAGTCTTTTAACAGCCCCTTAAAATGACAATCTGCACATGACACAGTTTTTCTGCCTTTGACCAGGCTTATTATTAGTGACCTGAAACAGACCCAGCTCTAGTCCTTCTTCCTGAATAAACATTATTTAATAACATGTAATTATAAGACCACATACCATTTTCCTATGGGAACTATTTTATTTACTGCCAAACATAAACACCTCCCACTTAGGATGTTCTTAGTCCAGAGTTATCTCCAAATCTTCCACACATATGCAGCCTTAACAGCCAGCCCCCTTGTCTATATGTACAACCACAATTTAATCATCTCTAAGCCAGGCCTGACTGGGACTAATAACTGAAGGGACATGCCATGGTTATTTAGTTTACGGGTCACATTTGCAGAGTTAAAAAAAAATCACATCAGCCAGTCAGAAGTCCAAACAAGACTTCAGAAAAACAATACAGGGATAAAAATGAGTCAGCTATTGGCAACATATATTTGCCTAGTAGGACAAATCTTTAACCAGGTTCCCCACTCCTCCTGCTAGTGAGGACACATCCCCCATGTGAGGTTTTACGTGCTTTGTTTTCTTCCCACTCTGTAATGGGTGCTCCATTCTCTATTCATTTTGTATTGTTCAGAAATGCAGCATCAACAAAATTAACATTGTTTTCACAAGTTTTTCTTCAACAGTAAAAACCTCCATTCCTCTAAAACTGTTTTCAGATTAATTTCAACTTCCTTTTCAATTTAACTCTAGGACACTGCAGGGAAATGAAGGAGTTTACTATCCTTGTGATACAGAGAGCAATGGAAAAAAAAAAGGTTTTCCACGACTTTTGGATGCTTACTGAAGATAGCAAACAGGGAACAAGCAGTAACACATTCACAGCATTGCTGCCATAAGCTTTGGGTATTCAGCTCTTTTCCAAGTAGTCCCATATGCCTCAGCTCAGGTGTGCAGTTTGCATTTTTAGGCATGCTGTATAAAAGTTTGGTTGTATTCCCAAGTACTGCAGTAGACATCTGCAGCAGAGAATGGGATTGAATCCACATTTCCAAGGAAACTTTCAGTTGCACCATGGCTTTTCCTTCCTGAATTCTTCCTACTACTTCAATACTGACCTTCCAAACTTTCAATAAAGGCAGCAATCAGTCTGCTTTACTCATTACAATTCTGCTCACTCCTTACAGAATCTCCCTCCTTTTGTGAGGGATAGAATTACAGAATACTCTAAGTTGCAAGGCACCCACCATGATCACCTCCTGAGTCTTGTAAGAAAACAGAATGTGATGATTAATAATTCAAATCCCTTTCTCAAGATAGGTTCAACTTCTTCAGTGTTTAGGACTCCTCACTCTTCTGCAGGCCCTGTGAACACGGCAGTTCAGGGACTTGAGTGTGTGACTGTGTGACAGCCAAAGGCAACCTCTCTTCTCCCAGCTATCCACAGTGCTGCAAACCCATACCAGGGAACAGCAGGTATCTTCAGCAACAATGCTGCCAACTTTCCCTGACAGCCTTTCCCTGCATCTTCTGAGGAAAAGGAGACATGACAGATCAAGGCACCCTGAGAGCTGAGCACAGGCTGCTGGCTGTCAGTAAAAAAACCAAAACAGGCTTAGAGCAGAGTTGAAGTCAGGCTGCCCAGGCAAACTCTGTTCTGGTGTTTTGAAACTTCTCTCTTAGAAATTACCTGGGAGGACACCTTATTCACACCTATATTGATCATAATGCAGCCACAGACTTGATTAACTCTTGAAGGCTGCTGGATTTGATCACTGAAAGCCAGGAAAGGATGCTGCAGGGTTAGAAACTGCCAATGCCTACATCTACAATCATAGAGCATGAGATCAATTTCAAATAAATGAGTTTCAAACTGCAGGAGTTGGTTTGAGGTCAAGAAAAATCCCTCAGCCTTGCTTAGATCAAACCTAACACATGTAACTGCTCACAACACTTTTGTGACCCAGCAGGGAGGTCTGTTGTCTGTGACCAGGAGGAGAAAGAGATGACCCTGCACAGACCCCACTCAACAGCTCCCTTTTTAACACAGACAGAAGAAGAGCTCCCCCAAATGCATTACCATGCGCTCATAAGGATCATCTGTTTCAGCAGCCTTGTCCAAGAGTTCACTGTATTCCAGCTCTTCACAAAGATGTTGCAAGGTATTCAGAGGTTCATTTAGCTCAACTGGCATGGATACTTTGGAAAGATCTTTGCCAATGTTATTTCTCAAAATATTCCACAGATTGATGTTACTGGTGTCAGGGCTGGGAGCTGGGAGACAAGTCCTCCGTCCATTTCTGAATGCGCCTCCTGTCAGCTCACCATTAAGAACTGGGAAGGGAAGAAAAACATTGTCATAAGAAAGCACCAGACTAAGAAAAACAGAGCTCTCCATTCAACCAAATCACTGCCAGAACAAGCAAGCCCAACTTCATTGTTTTCAGCTGAGTTTGGACTTGTATTGACATGCAGTAATTCTGGTACATGAACATAACCAAGGTAATTTCTCAAAGTTTGAAACACAGTATACTTTGCCGAGAAATGTTGTCTGCAACACTGGTGTTGTCCTCAGATATATTGTCACTCACATCACTGATATAAGATTCATCATCAGAAGCCTAAAACATAAATTAAAACATCCATTAACTCAAATACATATAAAATATACTGACAAAACAGACGAAAATAGTTAACTGAAATGCAAATATTAAAAAAAATCTCTATCCAATTAAAACTATTAGCAAATTGAACTGAATATTTCAATCTGTCCATAGTGCAAATGCACTAAAAATGTCAAAACAAATGCTACATTGTGCTCACGTTTCTGAATTCCTTATTATCCAAATACAGACATGAGATCTTCAAGTAAGATCAAGGATGAAAAAAATTGATAACATAATGCACTAGGGATGGGAGGTGAGAAGAGATAGTCAGATTTCTGCTGTTTATAAAGAACCAAACAATAAAACGTGACTTATGTTTCAGCAAACAAATTATGTAAACATCAGTCTATCATTTTGCAAAACAAGAATCTCATCAGCATTAAGAATATTTTTAAAAAATTTTTACACAACTGTTTTTTTCAAGAAATATTACTTTTTTGTCTATTTCTCTCATTACAGAGAATAATTTTATATACATACGTAGTAGAAGATTTTTTTAAAGAATATTTGAAAATCTAAATTTAATTGACTGCACAGCCAGCTCTAACTGTCTGTGTCATCCTTTGGTGGAACTGCCATAGCCTGGAAAGGACATGTACTGAACAGAAGTTACTGACACAACTAACTTTCAACTCAGGGAACTCCCGCATCTCTTTATGTGATCTCAGGTTTGTTTATCTACACTTTACACATTCTGATACCTTTTTATTCTAAGTAGCATTACTAAAAATAAAAAAAAAAAATCACTAGTGGTAGCACTACCTAACTGTAGCTGCCACATGCTGTCACACACAGCCTACCTCATTTTCTGACGAGCTGGCAGACAGAAGCACTTCCTGTGCATCAAAGAACTCTGAAACAGATTCAGACATAGAGAGCCTGCTTTCATTAGAAACTTGCTGAGACAGTGGCAAACTGACATGAATTTGTTCACCCGCCTGTAAATAAAGCACAGAAAAGTAAAAGTATTATTTCTAATATTAAAGAAATACACATAGAAGGGTTAAATCACCTGAGTAAGATTTCTATGACACATACAAGCACAGTGTAAAGACAGCATCTTAGTAGGACTGTGTGTGCACCTAAGAGATGAGACTGAGGATGACAAAATAAAGTGCATTTTGAACCGTGGGATACATGTTTTCATTTGAGGCCTGCCCAGCATCTACTGCCAAGTTTTAGCAGCATGAAATTGCAGATCTAGCTCGCTATGCAGAGAATTGATTTTGTGGACAATAGCTAGATTGTGTCAGACAAGTTCAGCCATGAATTTCAGATTAAATGTCCTCTGGTAATAACAAATTACATCACTGGGAGCTAGTTTTGATACAACTAAAATTTAATTATAAAGATTTATAAGGTCTGGGAGTTATAAATTACTTTCCAAATAAATGACCTTGTGAATCAGTTTAGTAACAATGTTTGAAATATTTGAATATTTAGGAGGATAGCTATAATATGTATTTTTATGGGCTTTTATTCTATGTTTACACTCCAGATCTCATTTGCATTATGCCATTAACACTGACCCAATACTACTAAAAGAAATGAACTCTCTATGTTTTATTATAAAGAACTGTAACAGCAAAGTCAAGGATTCAAAACGGTGCTATGTTGATGTCAGCAGTGCAGCAAGCTGAAACAGTGAAATATACCCTCCTCTTCTTGCTAGTGGGATACCAGATTTCAATGTTACCATGCAGGCCATCACATTAAGAAAAAATTAAGTTGCTCTTCCTGTACCATTTTACCACAGGATCTGCTGCTGTGGAGGGAAACAGATCTTGGACTTAATCCCTTAATTCATACAGCATGTTGCTGCTGGGAGATAATACAGATGAAACTACTGAAGCCCTTTTAAACACGGTTAACTCTTCAGATTGCAACACAATCCCCGTTAATCTTATTCCAGAACTCCTGCATATGGTTTTGTTGACATCTTAATGCTGTAAAATTATTCTATACAGTTACCTCAAAAAGCACTAACAAAACATCCCAAAAAAACATAAACAAGCCAGGAAGTCAAAACCCATTTCTTTTTCATTAGGACTTATAAGATTGTAGATGGATTGTGATGCTTGATGACTCATAATGAAAACAGAGGCTCATTTTACCGTAATCATTACAGGAAGTGACCAAAATTTTGAGGTTTCACATAAACTAGAGGGACTTGGAAAAATACACATGCTCCTACCTGAAAAAGACCCTCACACAGGCATTATCTACATGCTGCAAGATTAGAGAGATATATATAAAACCAGCAAGATAAGTGAATGAGAGTTCTGGAAACTTCTTTGAAAAACTTCTTCAGTCAGGCTTACTTCTACAGAGACAATGATGAACAACTGAAAAAGGAATAGCTAACCAACAAAAAATACAGAACAGAAGTTCATTGCCCAGAACTTCACTGCAGACTGCTGTGCTGTGGCACCACTTCACTTCTATGTTCTGTTGCTAGCCTCCAACATGCTGGATTCTTGGAAAAATTGTTTAGACAGTTTCAGAAAGCAAATAAACAGAAACAATTTTACCTTTCTTGCTTGTTGGAAGAAATAACTAGGAGACAAGACTATGTTAATTGAAATGGCATATGCACAGAAAAAAAATAGTGGAAATGACAAATCAAAAACATTTTTGTAAAATGCAAGCAGAATGGTTGCCAAAGTGACCATACTAATTGTAATATATTATAGTCCACAAATTCAGATTGTCACGAGGGAAGCTCACTGTTATTAACACAAATGTTTGTTAATCTGTTGACTAAGGAAAGCAAAACAAGAAAAACTAGATGTTGCAAAAAATATTAGTGCAGTGCTTGGTTCATGGACTGAACCTTTTGATTTTAACAGTACCGCTCAAGATTCTAAACGTGATACCCTTTAGACACTTGCAAAATCAGGTCATTAAATAATTAATTGTTCTGTTGATTTGGCAAGAAACTAAGGTGCAGAATTGGTTAGCTACTGTGTGATACATTCAAATACAGTAAAACCTCACTAATTCCCACAGCCAACAATTAATTATCCAAAACTGGAGTCCTTCTCTGTTCCTCTAAAGAGACCAAGCTGAGTTCTTTCATGTCTGACTTACGGAAAACAAGACTGAAGTTTTATTGTAGGTAAGGAAATATAACTGACTTTTTCTATGATTGAACATTTGCCAATCTGAAAAATTCAATAATTTTTCAGATGTGTTTCAGCTATTTAGTGAGAATTAGCAAGGTTTGTTCGTACTCTAAATCCATTAAAGGCCAAAGTCTTACCTCATCAGGACTAGGGATAATATTTACACTGACAACCTGATCACAAATAACAGATTCTGAATGTATTCTGTTCAAGCGACTCCTTAGTTCAGCATTCTGGTTGAGAGCCTTAAAATAAAAATTGCACATTTCATTTAAAATTAAAATGCAAACATTAAAAAAAAAGAAAAATAAAAAAATTTAAAAATTAAAAACAGAAAAGAAGAAGGAAAAAAGCTTCTTTCCAGCAATTTCCTAAAAAAAATCACAGAACCTCCTTTCTTTCATTTATAGGGAGATACCTGTTTTGAGATCCTCTCCAACATTATTTCATCTTTGGTTGCTTTGCCTTCACTGTTTTTCAGGAGAGAGGAGGGACAGATGTTCTCCCACAATGTAACACTGGCATTCTCCCTTAGTTCTTCAGAGAGCTCTTTGGCAGGTGTACTGGTGGGTTATGCACATTATGGAAATGGGGAGTGAACGCAGCAACAAAGAGTGAAACTGCAGAACAATACATGGGAACTACCCACAAAATGCCCAAAGAGGCAATTGTTGGTTTACAACTATACAGCCTCCTCTGAGTCAAGGTTCTTAGCACTCAGAGGCTGCAAACAGAAATTGCTTCCTTTCCAGTAAAACCAACATATTGGCTAGTATCATTGTCTACCCACCCAGATCAATTATTGTCTATCATTGGCTACCCACCCAGATCAATTTTACAGGTTTGTAAATTGTACTTATTTCAAACTACTGATCCACTACAGTATCACAAATTCCAACAGAATTCAACTGATGTTTGGTATCTGCTGATTTTTCTCCTATTCTAAAGTCCAAGCAAGATTATAAATTTGGGTGCATAAACATGTATTTTCTGTTGGTTGAAAAGACCAGTGTGTGAGATTCTGAAATTCAGAAGTATAATATGCTACAGATCTAGAATACGGCTGACTTAACCTTAATATATCCCCAGCACTGAGGATTATAGAAAAGAACAGAGAGACATCTTGTTTCAGTAGAAAAGGATTGTTGCAATGGAGTAAGAACCTTCTTCTGTCTCCCCGTAGTGCAAATTGAGAAATAGATTGCATGAATGTACTAAAACAAAGACCAAAGGAAAATAGGTAAGCTTAAACTGTCACTGAACAGTTTAAATTACCCAATTTTGCTTTGTTCTGAAATGGTCTGGGCATGTTCCTGGTTGACATCCCTCAGAGAGGGAAGGTAATGACTAACAGCAGCCTGATAGTAGCTTCTTCAACAGCTCAACCCTGGTCACAAGACTGGACAAATCCAGTCACAGTGCATTTTCCACTTCCTCTCCACCGAGGCTGTGAACTAATGTGTGACAGTGACTTTCAAACTAATCCTGGAAGCCCGGATCAAGAAGAAAACATGATCCCCTCTTTCATGCAAGTTGCTAATAAATATGCACAGGTCTTAGATAAATTTGTGTCAATAACCAGAAATGGTTACCCTTATCTCTTGGCCCTAAGAGAAGTCAATCTGCACAAGAAGATATACATCTGCATCTATAGAAAGGTTTGTCTTTAAACATCTGCTCATACTTCTTGCAGATGCAGTCCTCTACACCAATCCAGCAAATGCTTTTATGCTTCCTTGACAATGAATTTGGAAAAATTGAATTATTTTGCAGCCTGAGGATTTATTGTTACTAATTTCTTCTCCCCCGTTAAAGCAAATTACAATTTTCCTTTAGCTGAAGTGGGAGAGACACTGGAGAGTTAACAGGTCTGCATCTGGAAATCCAATTTACCCACGACTATATTGCAACCCAGGATTCCTTTTGGATTTAGAGACACAGACATATAAAATAAATCCAACAATATATGGTGAAAATTTAAAACTTAATTACAAAAACAAGAATATTTCATTGGCTGTGCTGGAACAGCTCCAAGAAAGACACCTAGCATTTGTATAAAACCTTTTGATCCTTTTTCTTTACTTTGGAAAACCATAACAGATACATGCTTACACAAATTATATCCTTCACATCCACATGCAGTGAGGTTAGATCTACATCATAACAGAATATGCCATAGCTCTGGCTGAGAACTTGGCTTTTTCTTGTCTCCTTTGAGGTGAAAGGAAATGGCCAAAATACAAAAGGAATAATGCACCGGGCAAGACAGATGTGCTTGAAATCAAATGAATAACATACCTGAGAGAGGGACTGTCTGAGGTGAGCTATTTGAGCATTGTGGCCTGTAAGATCCTGCTCTGAAACAATCTGTTTAAGCTTCTCCTTCTCTATAGCTATGCTGTTAAAGGCAGACTTCAAAAGAGAATGCACTGAGCAAAAAGAAAAAAATAAAACAGGTGTTTCCTTGGCTACAGAAATCACATTGACATCTCACAATATTTCAGCAATAAAGGCAGACAGTAAGACTTCCATCCCACAGTAATGGACATTTGAAACAAGGGCCTGAACTCAAGTAATCCATGCCAAATTAAGAACACACACTTACAGCTTGAGATTGCAATGTGCATACCGTATGCTCACACATATCTCATCTGAGCATATTCTTGGTGCTCAACATATGGAAAGGTGCATATTTGGAAAAACTGTGCCCAATGTGTGTTATTTTCTTTCTGGTTTTTATTTGTACGTTTCAGAGTAATAGAAACATCAGTTCTTCTAGACTTAATATGGTACTAATAAAGAGGATTACTTGGTCTTTAAACAGGTTTTGAATTTTTTAAGATGTCAGTCTCACTTTTTTTTTTCTATGCTTGTTATATAACAGGAAATTGATAAGAAAACCTTCTTAAAATGGTATTTTTCAATTTGTAGGACCATTCACTTACTGGCAATAAAATTGCAATTCAAAAGTACATTCCTGTAATAAGCTATTTTTCCATTGATTCCATTGACATAGAAAACATTGCACAAAAATTATTTCACATGATGATGTGCAGCAGTTACATTCTGAATCATCTTTGGGGAGAAATAACACATTTTGTTGAGGAAAAAAATGTTTGCAAATTCTGTCACTTATTTACAGAATGGAGAAAGCAGATCAGAAGTCTTGGAAAGCAATTTCAGAGTTTACCTATCTCTACATTTATGACATGCATGGAAAATATAAGAAGGACAATATATACAGCCTTTGTGTAAGGAACCTGAACAGCTAAAAACTCTTCTACAGTATCACCCAATGCAGATGAAAGCCCTGGCTAAGTGAAGGCAATAAAGAAACACAGAGAAGCACATTATAGGGAAGGCTTGGCATCTCCAGCTACCTTTTTGTGCCATCAAGCAGAATTCTTCTTGAAGCTTCATGTACTCAGTAGAGCACTCCAGAGGGTCTGCCACATGGCTTGGGGGAGCCTGAAACTCAATGTCTGCACAGAGGTTGGGGTTGGATGAATGCAGTCGGACAGGTGACATCGTAGCACTGAAAGGGACCTACAGTGGGAAACAGAGAAGAAATGTTCTATAAGGTGCACCAAAACTTTTGACTCTGTTGAAGCAAGCCAAAAATTTCTTCTGAAAAAACTTAGTTCACAATGTGAACAATATGGCAAGAGTGAACATGTAACTTCTTACTCTCCTAAATCTCAGCACAGATGATGCAGACTTCTCTTGAATTTTTTCACTGAAATAGAAAAAAGAAGGCCTAAATACACAGCTAACACCTAATGATGGAGTATTTTAATTCTAACATTTATAGAACAAGGATTATTTCCTAATTAGAAGATTACTGGAAAATTGAACCATGAGACATGTTCCTTTATATTTGGACATTTGAGAGTAATTGTAGATTAGTCTGTTGTTGCAATACCAACATTTGAAGTATGAAAGTTCCCCCACAGATCTAGAAACAGGATATAATATTATCAGATATATCATTGAAGTTTTTCAAAACTAGTAAATCTTCAGTTGAAACTCACTGTACTGGCAATTATGAAGAGGGAAGAAGCATACAGTCTTTCTATTTTCTTTTTAACTAAACAAACAAACAATAACATCAAAATAAAATCAAAACTGCCTGATTTGCATTTAAAATACATGGACCATAAATAAATGCAGAGAGATACAGTTTAGTAAGACAGAGCAAAGAATTTAGTTCATTATCTTTCCACTTCACTTTTTCCTCTACTTTTCAGGTACAGTAATAAAAAAAAAAAAAAAGTAATGCAAAACTTTCTAAGTTATATATACATGTATCATGTACTGAGCAGCTACCTGTATGCTGCATATGCACTGTATGGCTACCACTGCTATATAAGTGATGTGTGTGCAAGAGTACTTTGTATTTTACTTTAATATTACCATTTACATGCATTTATATGAAAATCAGGCCAAGAACACAATTTTCAACTGTAAATGCAACAGAAAGACATGCAGAACTACATCTTGTCACTTAAATATTAGCCACTGTTTAATGTATCAAACACTGTTTAGTACATTAAATCTAATTAATTTCATTAGATTGATCAAATGCATAAAGCAAGCATTTTCACACTGCAGCCCATGTAATTATTTAAATATGAAAAATGGGGCCAAAATATAAAATGTCTCTTCCAAGGCATGATAAAGAGCAGAAGTTAACATAAAAAGTCATATTACTAACAATTATTATCAACAGATGAGTTCTAGAACCACTGTCATCAGTGGCTGAACTTGGTACTTTGTTATTTGATTCGATCAGGGAACAGTTTTATCAATTCCTTTCTGTAAAAGCTGACATCAATACACATTTTAGGTTTAGGTTCTGATTCTCCAATGAAACCCTCAAAATCCTGTCCAATCTATTAATCATTCCACTCATGAGTATACTCTGTGAAATACATTTTCAGTGCTGATCTTTCTCAGTTTCCAGGTACATACAGTACATTAAAGAATAACTCTATGGCACCTATCTAATATAAGTTTATTCCTCCTGTCATGTGCTTTGATGTCCACCTATATCAACAAAGTACTTATTTTTTTACTGGACTTCATTTTATCCTCATATCAAGAAGAATTTGTTAACAGAAGATGTAAAATAAAGTCCTTCTATTCATACTTGATATTTAACCCTTTATTTTCTTCACAATTACCAGATTGCCTGTCTCAAGAGCCCAGCCTAACATTAGGTGAATGGACTACTGTGGCTAAACGTAGGTTTATGACAAATTCGTTGTCCAAAAATTTTCCCCTCCTTAAATGGGAGAGCATGTTTCCAGAACTTTCTGACTGGGAGCAACACAAAGCTTCCACTGCTCTGGGTGGCTCCAGGAGGGCAGAGTGGGTATCCATGCTGTACCTGTGTGTATGGAGAACATACCCAACCCTCCAGAAGGCAGGAAAGAAGCTGACACCAGCAACAATGCCAGAGCTTGAGGGAGAGAGGGAGAGTGCCCCCAGCTCCACATGCCTGTGGTGATGGGGGAGGCTGCCCAGACCCACAGGGACTGGCAGAGCTGCAGGCAGGCTGCCCACACATGCAGGGGGCTCTTTAGTCACTCTCTGATGAATCAAGCTGAAGAGATCTGCTTTAGAGCCACCATTTCTGCCTCAAACCTCAGCTGGCCAGGCTGAAAAGAAAGATTTCTGCAATGATGTTTATTGAAAAAATACTATTTTCAATTAAGCCCTATAAACAAAATTTCCATGTTCTACAAATATGTCACACTACTTGCAAGAAATACACATTCATATGACAGAGACAAGTAGCCTTGCTGACTGCTTTAAATTCAAGAACCAAAAATACTGAACTGTTGATTGACATGAACTCTCCTCATAAGCATTTTTTAGAAAAGCTTCCAATCTACTTTCCATAACAGATTAAAAACCACCACATTAAACAGCCATTTTCATTCTCTTGAATAGGCAACAGTCCAGGAAACACTGCCAATATACTTCTCTTCCCCTTTCTTCCTTTCATGGCTGTGGTTTCTCTCTGTATTAATGGTGACTTGATCCTGACTTTACCACCCATTCTCTTTCTGGTTGTTTTTAATTGTTGTTGCTTTGAAGGTTTTTGAAAAAATATTTAGCTTCTTGATCCATCACTCTAGTTTTCTCCATACAGTCACTTCTACACATAACCTCAGATGAACCTTGTCCCAACTTCCTGCTTTACACCAGAGGCGTTGCACCCACTCATCCATCACCTTCTTCAGAATTACATGCTCACATAGGAACAGACTGCTCCTGGCCAAGTGGGTTGTAAGGAAAACCTCTTTCTGCTGTGCATTTAGCTGATATAATTCTGTAACCCTCAGCCTATGCACTCAGCTTCACTGTCTGGGAGAAACAACCATTTTGTACATCAGCCAGGAAGAACAGGAGTACTGCAGCAGCCACAGAGTCATTCTGGTGCCTCTAGATTTCCTTCCTCTTGCATTTTTTCCAGCTCCTCCAAAACATCCCTCAACAGGTCCTCACTTGAGCTGCAGGTAAAAACTCAGCCGCTCCCTGTTCCCTTAGTGCCTTCCAACCCAAGTCCAGCTGCCTTTGCCTACTGAAGCACTCCCTAGGTGAGGAGTACAGCCCTTGCCAAAGCTGTTTAGCTGCTGCTTACAGCCTCCCAACACCACTGCTCAGCCCTGCAAACTGGGAATCAGGCAGATTTCTGTGCTAGGCAGGCAGACCAACACAGTCAAAACAGCAATCAATTACAGAGCACACATTCAGCATCAACTGATTAGAGAGGAATACATTTAGATGAGTTAATTTCGAAGCTGGAGAAACACTGATATGTCTCATATGTTTTAAAAGAGCACAGCAATAACTGTGTTTGTGGTTCAGCTAGCAGAAGCTCAAGATAGTTAGGCTTAAGCAGAAAATATGTCAGATATAGGGGAATTTAGCTTCTGTCTAGAACAGCTGCAATACTTCAACCTGCTGAAGACATTCACTGCTTGGGCTAGATAAGGAGTTTGCATCTAAAGCTCACTTCAGTCTTTGGCTGAACAGTCCTCCCTATCTAGCTGTTGCACTTATCTGCTGATGGACTAGTACAATGTCTATATTGGGCTTAATGAGTACTTTCTTGATAAAGCAGCAGCTGAAGATATCCTCTTGATGGCCACTCAATTTCACAAACAGGACTTGCCACAACTAATTCCCAGCCCTGGTGCTGATTTCACAGCTCCCTACTTTCTGACAAAGACTTAGAGAATTAGCAAAACTGCATACGGACACTGAGGTAGTAATATGACTTTTTGGGATTATGGAACGTAAACAAAGTGCCTCAAATGAAAAGGCTAACCTTATACTACTTATAAAAGTATCAGGAGATTTTATAATTCCGTGGCTATTTGTAACAAATCTCCTTAGTTCTATTGTCTTGCTATAACTGTCACAACATCTTTTAACATAATTTGATCTTTTTTTTCTATTTTGTATAGTCTGTCAAAGACTTATTGCGTGCAGGGCCTGAGTCTGTCATTTGCACTTACATAAAGAAGGAGGAGGGATATGTACCATGTAAACGAGCTCAGACCCACATTTATGGAACACATTTGTGTTGGGCCTGACCACTTCTAAGAAACTCAGTTGAAAGTGGGTAGCACGGACACCTCCAAAAAGTGCAAGAAACATTTTCATAAGGTTATTACACAACCAAGTTACACAGCTTCCCATCCTTAGAGCTATCCCTTGATTTTTAAATCCACTCACTGTTGTAGCCACTGCAGCTGCCAGTCTCTGCCGGCGTCGTGTTGTGCTGAACTGGCCCTTCGGTGCCGGCCCTTCCTGACAGTGAATGCAAGAAAAGAAGGAAGTAGAAAAAGAGAAGGGAAGGGGTGATGGGACACAGGAAGATGAAAGGTGATCAGAAAAGGGAGAGGGAGAGTCTTTAAGTGGGTTTCCATTTTGTTAACTCTTATGGCCTACACATGTTGAGGTCATATCATGTGTTTTCAGCTGTGCATGCCAGAGACATAAAAAGCTGGATACTTCACTAAAATTATCTCCAGATGAGTTGGACTGCAGTGCACTCACTAAGGCTACAAAAATAAAAAAATCAACTAGCATTGCCATTCAGTTATAAGGCAATAATGGAATAAGAGAACAAAAAAGATGCTATAGCATGCCAGAAAATAAAATAAAAATCTGGAGCCACTTGACCATTTAGAAGATGAATTCTGAAAGAGATCACTTTGCAACAGTGGAAGTGCATAAACTGTGGTCACTGAAGATGCATGTGGCTCAATGGTAAAATTTTTCAATGTGTATGTTATCTAGTGAGTTTTCTGAAGTAAACATTCCTGTACATAGCTCTGGCATTTCCACATCCATCCTTCAGCCTATTGAATCATTTTCACCATACATCACTTTTTTGAGTTACACCTGTTTTTCCCATACATTACTGAAGGCTTGACTTCCAAACCAAGGCAAAAACTAAGATAAAGGAGCAAAAATAAAAACTAGGTATTTCAACAACTGCTTCCTTTTCTACATGTCTAACTTGTGGCATCATCCTGCTTAATTTTACATTTATTTTACTAGCAAGAAAATTTTTCACAGTACATTAAAGTCAAGCAAGTAACTGTCTAATGCAGAGGAGCTCCATATCTGTCATAAAGTCATTCTATTTAATCTTTAATGAAAATTGCATTATTTTCAAGCCATTTTAAGATTTTGGAAGACTAGGAAATACACCTCTCTGCCTTTAGAAAATGATTCTCAATTCCTTTACATTTTTCTTTCGCTGCATCCTATAGCCACTACAGCATTTTTAGATCTATATACATTTTTACTTTTTTTTTGCAAGAAGCCTGATCATCATACAAATAACAAAGTGTAGACTGGATACATGAACACCATGCTGAAGAACAGGATATTTTATTTCAAGTATTAGCTGAACTGTCTTGCTTCTATAAAATTCCCAGTAGTGTTGCTACAGTGGAGAATGGCCAAACACTTCACCCTCTGGCTGATATTAGTGGCAATGCCACTGACATTTGGAAGGGTTGTCTAATGATCACAGTAGAAGACTTGTGGTGCAATATTTTATACAATTCTCACATTAAAAAGACGTGTACATAACCTCTGAGAACAAACTCTGTTAAAGCAGAGAACAGGTCATATGCATAATGTAAAGCTCTTTGTGCTCCACAAAAATATGTCCATCTTGTGAATAGCAGTATGGAAGAATATTCTTATTTAAATAGTAGGGACAAATCTATGTACAGAGAGAGATTTGCACAAATTTATATGTATAGAAGATTATGAATGCAGGTATGCATTATTAAAATGGGAATAGTGAGCTTTGCAGAATCACACACTCTCCTCAACACAATAGAAAGTGAGGTCATAAATCTGAGTTACCATAAAAAGAAATACTTAAGGGAAAAAGCAATAACTAGTCTGGGTCTGGTTTCAGTTCTGAGCTGAAAGCCTCAGTAAAGCAAGATGATTTTTCAGATTACTCCATAATACACAGCTCTCTATTAAACTATTCCCCCTGTGAAGTCTTGAGCTTTTGCGGGAAACCAAAATATCACTGGTTCTTTACTGTTTTGCAGTAACATTTTCTTTTTTCTTCCTTTGAAGCTGTCGTGAGAATGATAACTTAGCCTTTCACCCAAAGGGAAATAAAATATAATTTTAAAAACCCCACAAAAAAGCACGAAAAACCCCCAAGACAAAACCCACAACTCAGTTCTTGTACAAATGTATAATTTGTAAAATGAGTTAATACAGGTCAACTAACCTGTTTTTGCCATTTTCACAAGATTTTATATAGGCTTGTTTAAAAAAAAATTAACCTCCTTCATAAAAATAATCTTTCTTAAGAGAAGCAATTTATGTATTACTCTTGAGTAAAGGCTGGTTAATTCAGCTGTTAATTCTAAGCAACTTAACAATAGTAAACACCCAAACCTGCACAGACACGTGCTGTGCTCAGTTTTACTTCAGGGAGTAACCTCACCCAAGTTACAGGGATCAGCTGTGTGGGCAAAGTCAACTGCACACAAAACTGTCATATTTAAGTGGTAAATATTTATGTCTAGGAAACAAATCAAGCAGCTTTACTTACAAGAAAAAGTATGTTTTACATACATTATGCACCTAGCATTCATACTGCAATAACGTGTTAGCAGGAATCCAACAAAAGATATCTCATTAACAAAAGAATGTTTACAAGGACAATACAAAACCCAAATGGGAGAATTCCTTCCTTGCCTCATGTGCAGAGGATACTGAGGCAGCAGAAATCACACCCTTGTTCCCCATCATTCACGAAGCACACACCTTTATATAAAGCTCCCTAATTTTATGCTCCCCAGAAGGATGCCTACAACATTGTACTATCAGAACGTCTTTGATGTAGTTAAAAACTGCTCATTCTGAAAAAAATGGCTGCAAGTACTCCAAATGAAATTAACAGTGAAACTAGCTTAAAGTTAGTTTGTTAAAATTAGCATTATTCCCTAAAACTAGCAAGATGTATGGAGGTACGAGGAAAGTGATAGTATAACAGAAATCTTACTGGTACCAAATGTCAGCCATTTAATAGCAAATTATGTGTAAGCACTATGAAAACAATGTTCATTAATCAGACAAAATGATTCTCAGTATGGGTTGTACTGATAAACGGTTCAGAAAGACTTGAAGCAGTCTTGAAAAAATGAGCAATAAGGAAGATCAATGATGCAGAAGGAACAAAATGGGAATTAGTTTAAAGGGCTTGTAGGCATCAGAGGAAATTCACATTTTAGTGGCAACCTAAGCAAATTAGGAATAACACAATGAGTCAGTGAGGCCACCTTCCTACAGACCACAGCTCCAGCAGTCAGGAAATAGCACAGCCCTTGGAAGAATAAACTGAGTCTAGCAAACTATGCAAGATAATGGAGTAGCCATCAAGTATTATTTGTCTTCCATACAATTTAGAACAATTTCATTGTTTCTGTGTCACTGCAAATTAATTTACACATCAGACAACAATAACTTAATACTTTGCTATAACAAAATAAGCTTTGTATTTGCAGCATGAAGCTTGGTGGGAATTAATGCTGACCCAAGTTAGGCAGAATCCATTATCAATCCAGAAGTAACAGACCCATGTAGAGCAGTGCCATGGACACAAACTCTCTCAGGGGAATCTGCAACCCTATTTGAAACTTTCAGGAGCTGAGGCACACCCCAGCCAAACTACAAACAGCAGTTCGGTGTAAGCCCAGGCCAGCACTACTTCAGCAAAGTGTAGGTAACACAGGAACAGCTCATTATTCACTACGACCAACCATAAATCATAACACATTGACTGCTTTCATTACTTTTGTGGATAGGACTTCTCTGAGGTTACTGTGGCATGAAAGAAGAACATGCAACAGTGACTGATTCTTCACAGGCACGAAGTACTTGCATGCATTTTACAGATATTTTAATTTCCCTGTGTTATTCAGCACCAGAGAAAAACTGCGGTCCTTCAACTGCATGACACGACAGCAATGACAAAAATTCCTTTGTTAATAAACCTTTTTAATCCCAACAGATGCTTCATTGTTCTACCTATTGTGATTATCAAAGTATAATAGGTAAAAAGAAAAATAAACTACAAGAGCTGCAATGAGAAAGCTGATGCGACTATCACCTCTTCCTTAAGATTATTGATCTTAAATGAAAACTCCTTCATGTGCCTATTGGGGACATATTAAAAGCTTTTGAAGTTTGTACTAATTTCAAGATATTTGAATGGATTAGAAGTTGCTGACATTTATTTACTCATTTATTATTTATTTAGCAGACATCAACATCAGCAGGTGATTGTGGGCTCTCAAAGCCAGTTGAATAGTCTTCATTACCAGTTGCTTAATTATAAAAATGATCAGCTTTTGGATCAAACCTCAGAATACACAAGTGCTTCCGACAAAACACAAGGCAGCAATACATGCACATTATGCTTATTTTTGTGCTTTCAGTTCTAGGGAAGGATGGAGTAAATTCTTCCTTCACATAATTTATTTCTTGGATATTTTATTTATTCCCATATTAGCCTTTTCCATAACAGAAGGCTTGTGAAAATACTTATCACTAGTAATATTCCAAGTATAGGTCTTGACAAAGACTACTGGTGTGTTTAGTATTTCATTCTGCTTTTAACTTGATGTCACTTGTTCAATTGAAGGCGGTTGCCCTTCTTTGCAACTTTGATATGAAATAGCAGTATCCCCATATGGTGTGTATTGAGTTTGGAATACCTTAATTGACTAATATTCAGGTCCCCCTCCTTTCCCTAGATGGCAATGTTTTCATATGAGCGAAAATAAAATCAGTACTTTTCTCACTATCTTCTCTAGGTTTTGAACAACAAACTGAGATTTAATTTACTTCATCAGAAACATGAAAGACAGCACACTGTCTTCCTACTTTCAGCTAATATATCATTTCATGCTTAGAATTAAATCTTAAGTACAGTGAAAAGTAAAATATAGTGCATTCAGTACCTGAAGTTGAATTTTTGCATCTTTGCTGACACTTTTTGTTCTCCATCGTCTCGTGACCCGCTTGTCTTTCTTTGAAATATCTACACAGTTAGCCTACATTACACAAATAGTTAAAAGCAACAAAGTGCTATTAAGTTGACACAAGCAACACAGACAATACAGCAAGTTAGTAAAGAACTATAGCATTAGACAGGAACAAATTAGAAAGTAAGGAGAAGAAGGCTGCTGCTGGGGCCCAAAATTGGAGCAGTGATCAGCTGTAGCTATCCATACACTTCCACAAACATGTGGTACAGTTAGCTCCTTTAGCAAAACTACTGGTGCCCTTTCTCTTCATGGGAACATAATATTTAGGATTACGATCTTGAAATCCTCATGGATTTCTGTTGTGGTACTACTCAGACATTTGTACAGACAAGAAGATTCAGTGAAAATGGAAGAAAGTATTTAAGATTTAGGATATGCTGTTGCTGTCTGGAAAAAGGAAAACTCACCCTGAACTGGGAAACAGTCCAAAACTTGGGACCTTTGTATTATGCCCCCTTTTCTAGAGCATGCAACTTCATCTTTGAGGGTCTTTGGGTCTCCAATCCTTAAAAAACTTAAAATGTTATCTTAACACAACAAAAACTCCTTAAATATAACTTCAATTTATACAGGTGTTCTATTGCAAAAGCCCTCAGTTTTGTTTGGCAAATTACTTAATAATTTGATGTGTCCTATTTAACTCAAATACTGAATACATCTTAATTACTTGTTTACACAAGAAACAGAAACACTATTACACAAGATTAAAACAGACATATAAGATAAGCATTTAATCCAAGATTCACTATTACTTCAGAAAAACATTTGGAGTTAACAGACAACACCTCTATATTTCCCTTAACAGAAGAAACAAATATTTCAGTGTAATGATTTATGTTCAATCTTATTTACCTGCATGTCTGTGAAATTTGGTGCTGACTGAGTCCTCTGTAGTATTTCTAAATTTTGAAGAAGTTTACTGAGTTCCACAAGGTTAGACTGACAATGAGCAAGATCTAAGAGATATAAAATAAAAGTACTTTAGGTGCTTCAGTTTAGACTTTTTATTGCCATGGTGTCCATTGTTTGCACTCAATTGCATTATAAAAGTTAAGTGCCCAAACCCCTTGTAGTAAGGCATCCAAGTAAAGGTTTTATTTTGTTGGACACTTGTTATTTCTATAGGAGTCAGCAACAACTCTGGACCTCAAGAAGTGATCATATTTGAACAATGACATCCACCAAAATAGCACAGATTGTTATGGTACATTTTAAAAGCAACATCCCAAAATATATAGAGAGCAAAGTTCCCACCACGAGGTGAAAGTTTCCGATTACCTGAAAAGCTGTAACTTAACCACTTTACTCACAGGACTCTTTCTTATATCAACAAGATGTTTTGCTGGAAGAACACGGCTTGAAAAGATAAAGTCTAACCTTCTGCACATCTGTCCATCTCTTCAGAGTCCTGCAACCAGGCTGCTACTTTACTCTGACCAGTAGTGCAGGTGACAGGAAGGCTGTTACTGCAAGGTATAGGAGGCTGCCAGGGGAAGTTATTTTGTTGCACCTAAAGCATAATAAAATGCTTACATTTACTGTGGCTGTGTTGCCTTGTCAGTGTAATTACTATATTACTTCAGAATAGAAACCAAACTTTGCATTGCATTTTCAGTGAAATCTGTGATTTGTCTCCATAGCTCCCAAAGACACAGATTTTTCAGAACAGCATGTTGGAGAATCAAACCAGGAACCTCACAAGTGGACTCTGCTAGGTACCAGTTAGGAAAGCTGTTGTTTATGAGGAAGAACATAATCAGCAGGGAGACAGATTTATACCTGTTGACAAAGGCTAGTGCAAATTGTATGGATGGTGAATACTTTGCAAGATCTCTACAGCAGCCCATTCTAATGAAGCAAGGCTACATTAGACAGTATTTCAGCTGATTTCAGCTGCACACCCTCACAGCTTTTCTCTGGCCATCCGTTCCCACAGTGGAAGCTCCTGTCCTGTTGGCATGAGAAGAAAAGCCCACTGAAACTGCCCACAAGCAATCCATGAGTTTTCAACCAAAGAACACTGCACACCTTTCCATCTGACACATTGGCAGCTGGTGAAGACTCTGTAGTAGATGCTGCAGGGAATATGTGGAAGCTGGCATCCCTGGGAGATCTCACGATCTCATTCTGACGGTACAACCGGTGGTGCCGCAACTTGGAAACCCACGCATCAAATGAATCCTGTGATTTCACCTGCAGAAAAACTTACTATCAAGAAAGCATCCAAGATACTACTTTTCTGCACAATCTTTTACAGTTTTATTTGTTTCTACTGAGGATGAAGAAACACTGTGTAGTTTTACTTTTTACCTTCAGGTGATAGATATGTTCTTCTGTGTCAAGATCTATCCTACGAGCCTTTTTTTTTATAGACATGACTGATAAACCAACATCAATGCTCCCATGGACCTTTCCTTTCTGTATCTAAAATAAAAACATCAGAGCAAAAATTTAGAAGTATGGTGCACTTCTTCTATATACTTAACAGAAAAATATCTAGTACTGAAATGGTTTCCCATTGTATAATATTTTAGCATAAAGCCATATTAAAAAATAAAGCTGCACTCAGACTAAACCATTTAACCACTTATTATTTTTGTAGTCAGAGAACAGTATCTCACAAGAAATGCTGGTACAAAGCCAACTCCAAAGTTTGGGTGTGTTAAGTTGTTCACACCAGTGCACAGGTACAGGTAAGTGAGAAGCAGAGAAAATTACACAGTACTAAATTAGACAGTACTTGATACCTTACTGCTACGACTTGGTAGTTATTGGTGTCAAATATAAATAATTGGTATTAATTCTTTGTCGTATCCACATGTCTCAGAATAATCAGCTCTGGCTGACATAAAAATTAGAAACAAAAAATACATGGTCAGGTTCATCTCGCAAGCAGCTTTGTTCAAGAAACTACCTTTAGTAATTTAACTTATATTTCCATAGAAGTAAAAAAGGTAAAATTTTTGGAAGACATAAGCAAAATCTTACATTATTTATCTTTAAATCCATCAACAACTTTCATGCGTGTACTTTCATAAATATGCCTAGAGTGAGCATGAGCAGGCAAAACTTCATTAGAAATTTTAAAGTCTTCAGCTCTACTTACATCAATTGGTGACTTTGAATATTTCAACATTCCATTATCCAGGACAAAAAACCTCTGAAATAATAAGAAAAAAATCCAACAACATTCTTTCTTAATGAGTAGATGCAATTTAAACTTTATACAACAATTCATCTGGAGAAGGATCACCCTGTAACAATTAAGGAATGTTTGGGGTTTGGAAGGAGAGGATAAATACAATATTAAATAATTTTCTCTTTTTTCAACATTATGTTCTAGGTTTATCTTAAGGAACTTTGATAATGAAGGGTAATTTTTTTCAGTTTTCCAGGCAATGTAATAAACTTTCTAAGAAAGAGACTGTAGGACAAGAGAATTATACCTGTTTCTTCATTTTCTTCCTGTTTTCTTCCCACAAAAGCTGGTCACATTTCAAATTAGCAACCTACATTCCCTATCCAGAAACTGAGAGTTTTTCTTAGTGCAAGATCTACATCTCGAAAGGAAACCCATATGAGAGACCCTGGTCTACCATGCAAAACTTGGTGGCAGACCTGTACTCACTGAAGTACAGATGAGATGGTAACTTGTGCTGAAGACACCTTGCCTAGTGTTAATCCAGGTATTAGTACCAGAACAAATATTGCAGTGTTCCCAGCAACATGGCCAGGTCATGGGAGGGCTGATGTTTCAGGCGTTGGTGACACAGGGTGAGCCACTGCACCTTTGCCGACATGGTTACCGGGACCGGCCTAACCTGATGATGCCTGTGCTATTGCACCTTTATTGTTCTGAGCAGAATCCCCTATTCAAGCTGTCCTTCTCCCTCAAATAAAGCTGCCCTAGCTTGTCTGTACCAGATCACTCAAGCTGCTTAGCAGTCAAGTTAATGCAGACTTTGGCACACAGCATAGAGCCTAACAGGAAACTGGACTTGAAATGACATTTGCTAACTCGTGTTGATCGTCACTAACTTAAAAAACATGCAAAGTAATAGCAAATAGCTCATATTTTTAGAGTGTAACCTGAAGCATTAATCTATGTTAAAATCCCAGAACACAGCTTGATTCTCAAAGCTGTCATGACATGGCAAGGAAGGGCAATGGTTTCCTTAGGTAAACCTGCTAAATTAACACTACGAGCAGGGTCAGTAGTTAGACAGCAGAAAATCCCCCTCAAAGATGGTTCTAGAAATTCTGCCAGTCACACAACAGATGTACCAATATCTCACACAGGGCAGGAAAACAGTGCTTTTCTCTACCCCAGCTGAAACCAGTACATTTGGAGATATAACTTCTTGAATAAGATGTCAAAACAACAGGAACATCTTGGGGTTCTTTTCCGTAGGTACGGTCACTAACAACCTTCACAAGAACATGATGTTCATGTCATATTGCTCTGTTTCTCTAAGCTGCATACGCAAAAGAAAATTACCTTTCATCATCATTTAATTCCAACACACACTGCACTTCAGAGGATGTTAAGTTCACCAAGCTGTGCACATTATACCTGGTATGCTACCAAAGCACATTCAGGACTGTCAGAATATGGCATGCAATGTTCAATAGATGCTGTATATGGCTTTGCTAGCAGAACACTAACACAGGACATGCTGCAATTATTGTCTCTTAAGTTCCTCACTGACTCTCAGCACAAAGTATTGTTATGGAAACTCCAAGATACCCAGGCCAGCATTGCAAAAGAAAAAACTTATTAACACTCCCAAAGTTTCAGAACCTAAGTTCAGCACAGTTCCAAACGTGAAATGTAAGGCAGCGTAGAGGGGGATGCTAAAATGCCAATTTCTTAATGACATTAAAAATTATCTACACAGGTAACTCTCAAAATTCATCTAGTGATTACCTTTAAAGAACTGTGAAGCTGGACTTCTCTTACTCTCCTATAAATTAGTTCCTTACCAAAACAGACACTTTGCCAAATAACAACACATTAATATAATGTATTCTAAAAGTGTGGGAGCAGTGGTTTATTCCATAAATTCTTATATACCACATTAATTGATTTTTTGGAGGGTCAGATCAATTTTATTCACAAATTCCCTCTCGATTTTGAATACAACCTTGGGCAGCAGGGACTGTGATTTGAGATCCATGAAATGTGTCTGCAAATTAATTCCATACACAGGTGGAAGAAAAAGTCATACACCAAAATTGTGGGTATTTATTTGACATCCTAATTTTGTCTAGACAAAAAAAATCCCAGCTCATAAAATAAGGCAATAATGTTCTGACTGGTTTATGAGACATTTACCTTGTGCCAACCTTTTAATGGCCATTTTCTCTTCTTCAGCATGAAACCTTCATGTTTGTCTGGCTTCTGGACATTGGTCTGCCCTATTTTCAGACCCTCTATGATTTCCCAGCTGTCAGGTTCCTGATGAAAAAGCATGAAGACACATTGATTCATTTTGCACACAAGTGGCAAAAAAATTGCACTTAAGAGTGGCAAAAATTCTTCAATGCAAGACAAAGAGAAGGAGGCAGTCTTTTAAATCAAACTGTTTAGGTACCAAACTGCATGGTCACTATATTATGTCTATCTGTATCTCATTTAAAACTACTAAATACAAACCATTTTCAGATGTCTAACCCTTACCAGGTTGCATCTTACCAGATGCATAGTAAGACTGCCCTTTGTGATATTTCTTAATTATAAAGAAATTTAAATTTTCTGATCTTTAAAGTACAAGCTACATTGGTTCTGGATGCCCCAGTTTTTCCTCCAAATCAGAAAAACTAGCAGATGATGTTGCTTTATTGTTGATTTTGAGTGCAGCTAGTGATAATCTTCAAAGGCATTTTATGACAGAGTTTCACTTGGTAATTGAGCCTTCAGAAATCTGCAAAAAGATTTTTTTCCTGCATTCTCTTTCACCGTATTATGAGAGATTTATAGGAAAGCTAACTAATTTTCTCTCTAGAGAAAAACAGAGGAACAGCATCATTTGAGATACAACTAGTTGTATGCCTTTCATGGAGCCAATTAAAGTATATTTCTGGTACATACCACTTGTTTTGCATGGTGACTGGCGCAGCTCAAGCCAGATTTACAATGTAACACAGTGAACAGGAAAAGAACAATATTTTGAAAAGAAAAAGATAGAGTCATTTTTTCTCTTAGAGTGTATTTCTACCCTCTCGCTACTACTGTGCTTAAAAAAATTCTGCACCAATTTAAAAATCTCTTACTGCCAGTTTCCTCAGACTGTGTTTCACTAATTATACCTTAGAAAGCTGTAAACTTGCATTTTCTCAGTTGATCTGTCATAACTCCTAGCAATGTTATGAAAAGTTAACAAGAGAGGAAGGAGGTCATATAGCATCAAACATTTAAAGGGAAAAAAATTGTCTCCACATTTCCAACAAACTGTTCAGAGCCAAGTGCTGTCAGTCTTTCACAACACCTCCAAATAAATTACACCACCCTGATAACATCAACATTACTGTTTTCATTATTATGAAAATATAGTTGCAAAAGTAACAGCAAATTTCAAAACTACAATTTTGAATAAGGTCTTGGTATTTTGAGAAGGGTGAAAAGCTCTATCCCAAATAATAAATACTGCTGTAAATTTTAATAGAAATCTCTGTTCAGCTTAGTTTCCCCTGCATGAACAAATTATCTCATTGTCTGTAAATTCCCAATTCAAAATGCAGCTTTGTTTTACTTCCTCATGTTTTGCTTCAACGTACTATTTCCATTTTATAGAGGAAAGCACATATGTATTCTTTTTTCCCTACATGGAAGTATTTGGCACTCGAGGGGGACAAATTAAACTCTAAGTTATACACTAGCAGAGAGTCTCTGCATCTCTGCCAACTGATTCTTCACCATATTGATTTCTCCTTTAGATGATCAGCTGTAGGCATAAGTCTTTTATCTACTAGATAACATCACTATTGATTAATTCTCAACTAGAAACCACACAATCTCATATAGCTATTCATTTAAACAAAAGACCAGATACAGAGGGATAAAATGAGCAATTATTCAGTGCAGTGAAGATACTTGTCTCCTGCTGCATCAGTGCTACAGGCTGTTCTTAAAACCCTCCTAACAATCCTAACTGTGCCTCATCCCACAGTTTTGGTGTGTTGAGATATGCCCAATACCAAGGCCATTATGAAGGAGAGATGAAAATGGGGAAAAAACAGAGTGAAAGTGATAGCCTTGAAGAGTCCTTGTCCAAGGCCAGTCCCCAAGCAGAGCAGCAGTATTTTAGGACTTTGGTGATTCCATAAGTATTCCATGAGAAACAGCCCCGTGCAAAGCAGCACAACTGGGAGAACACAATCACAGCTTTCAGTGCCTGGCTCTGCACATGCCCCTTGTTTGGGGATTAAGGGAGCCACTACCAGCTGCTTTCTCAAGTTTTGACGGCAAAATATTCATTTTCCAAATAAAAACAAATAAACCAATTCATTTTCCCTGGATGAACAGAATACTTCCTTTTGAAATTGTTTTACCAGGTCTGTTTCAAAACTAACAGATATTTAGTTTCAGATTTTTATTTTTCACCAAATATTCCATCACAGCACCCTCACCTTTTCAGAAACAATCTTGCTTTTGCATCTGAAGTACCGTAAAATGAGGCTTTCTTTATGTGGAAATAGACTTGTTTGGAATCACTTATTCCAAAACTGAGCAATTTACCCAAAAAGTTGACTTCAAAACAACGCAAACAAGGCGTCACTTTTTATGAGGGTGATGTCACCCCTGCAGTTGCATCCTTTACTCTGCCTCAGGAAAGAAAATCTCAGCAAGAGCTTTTAAATTTCAAACTACACACAAGGGATGTTATTAGGACATAATTTAAAACTAATATTTATTGCAGTAATTTTAGATTTGGATATGATTTCCTCTACCTTAATAAGAGGATTGAACTGGAAAACTTCTCAGAGTCATAAAATCATATAATATCCTGAGTTGGAGGGGTCCCACAAGGATCACCAAAGTCCCTTCTAGCCCCATTTTCTGAGAAAGTAAAATTTGTTCCTGAGGCCATCCATGTGAAAAAAAACAAACAAAAAAAAAAAAAAACCAAAAAAAAAAAAAAACAAAAAAAAAAAAAAAAAAAAAAAAAAAAAACAAAAACAAAACAAAAAAACCACCAAAACCAATCCTTTAATTTTTTAATGTAACATCTACTGAAGGTTACTGCCTCTTCTTACACCTCAGTTATAGAACAATAAACTCCAGGGCAGACTCACAATATACTCAATGGTAGAATCATACAAAACAGTGAACACAAAACACCAGAAGTATTAGTCAAACTACTTTGTAACTCCACAGGGAAACTCACTGCCCAGACTCCATCCCAGGTGTTTCCTTACCTTGGATAGAGAGAGATGATCACTTTCAAGGAACTGCTTGCTTAAAGAAGGGTCTGTGCTTCCTGAAGAAGCCTTTCGCTCCAAAATATGAACACTCTAAAAAAAATAATTAAAGACAACAACATGGCTCAAAACATCCAAAACACCACCCATCCATGACTTACATGCACATACAGTTTGCCTGCAGAGGCAATACACTTTTCTTTCTTTATTACTGGGTTTTTAATTAATTACTCTGTTTAACCTAGAAATGATGGTGAACTAAAAAAAGCCAGGAAAGATGAGTAATGCAGTTCTTACCTCTATAGAGATTCAAAGTGCTCCTAACCAGACCTATCATGTTTTCTGTTAATATACAAGACACTGAGTGCACATACTCTGCAGTCAGCACTGCCCTACATTCACTTCACATAAGATATTACTGCCTCTAAAATATTCATTATCACACCTTTGCATTTTGTTATTGGCTTCCCAGCTGAGAGAAAGTAGCACACTACACAAATGCTTTTAAATAGATTACAGGTATTAACAAGATCAGTTACTGTGTCTCAGCTGATGGCCTTGCTGGTGAACATTCATGGAACACGCGGATCTTAAACCATTGCAGCTGTTTTTACACATGACAATCCTATAAAATTTTATATCTTCAAAGCATTGTAATAAAATTTAAATACACAATGTCACAACTAGTCCTGAAAAGATTGCTATTCTTAAAACACATCTAAACACATCTCTACATTTTCCAGAAAATGGAAGCTTAGCTTTCCATTTTCCAAAAACTCCTACTTTATAAAAGAAAAAGAATTTGTGGTAAAAGAGAAAATTACCACAATCCACAGGCATGGATCTTCATTTCATTCTCTGGTGAAATTTTGCTACATGTCACCCTACCACACAGTAAGAATTCTACCGCAACATGTCATTAGTATCTCTTTGGCATAAAATAAAACTACTTCATTTCCAGGACATACAGCACAATGACAAACTCGTAATCGCTATTACCCTCTGAGAAGCATATGTTTTTCTCAGCTGAAAATGCCAATTAAGTTTTGTTCACAATTAAGCTTCTTTACATTGACTGAATAGATTACCCAGGTACCAGCAGCAGCAGCAGAAACAATCAGGAAATATAAAAGTACATACAAATGGCAGTGTAAATATTATTGTTTATATAAATTATTAAGTACATAAAGGACCATAACCAAACAGCTATTCATTTAAATGTATGTATATAACACAGACCCAATCTTGCTGCAGAGCAACACACAGACCTTCATTGTTCTCTTTCAAGTTGCAACTGTGAATGAAAATAGGAAAACATGGGGAGTGTCTCTGTTTTCACTGGAGATTAATAAGCATCCCTACCACCATGCTACAATAATCAGCATTTATTTTCTGTTATTTAAATTAAATTTTACAGTGAAGAATGTGGAAAAGCAGCAGTATTATGTTACTCCAGGGCTAACCAGCAAAAAGCTTTATCCTTTATGCTTTAAAAACTTCTGTTTTATCAAAGGAAGTCCTACCTACTTATTTAGTCCAGACTATTTTACCAGTCGGATGACCAAAAAAAAGGTGTATATATGTAGCACAAGTGTCTATGTTACATATCAAATAATTTAATAAACTAATTTGGGCTGAGAATCACAAAATTCCTAATGATAATGATAAACTTTCTCACCAAATAAAGGAAATGCTACTTATGTACACAGTATGACATTTCGACAATATACAAAAGAACCTAAATCTGTTCCTCCAAAGAAGATTAAAATGTCTCTTGATTAGCATAATCAGGATGATTCCCAACATTCTTGCCAGTTTTGTCTGGCAGGCAGGAATCCCTCCATCCTGGGATGGAGCAATGCCCAACACAGATGTTCTGAAGGTCTCATGTTCTCAGCTGGTGCAGTTTGTTGTTACATAACTGCAATTTCGTTTTGTACAACATTTAGAGAGGAGTAGCCCAGCAGCCCTTAGCTTGCCAGATTTCCAGTGACATTTTAAATTACATGATTTTAAGCCAGGAAGGTTATGTGCCTTTCTTTTTTTTTTTTTTTTAATTAGCCTTCAGTCATTACAGTTCCACTTCAGTTGAGAAATACATTATTAGCCAGCAGCACTTTAATGAATGCTGACTTATTCAACTATTTGTTTGAAAATTAGAAAATGAACACCTTTTAAGTAAAACTGCCTTCTTTACATTCCTTACTTCCAGGAGTGTTGGTTTGTTGTCTATAGATGTTTGCTTTTCAATTCTCTTTACTCATGACCACAATTACACTGATGCAAGATAATTTCTTTAGATTTGTGACATGTCTCTAGCATAATACTAAGACACCTTGCTTGGTGCAAAGTGTTTTCCATTAACACATGCTATTTTTCTGCAAAATTATAGCTAGAAATCACACAATTGCTTGACATTTTGAAAACCAGCTAATTTTACAATGCAAGAGTTTAGTTATTTAGAATCAAAGAAACAAAAATTATTTAAATCTTGACATTATTGTCAAGGGGTTTTTTCGTATTTTAACATGAAAAACAGAGTTGGGAAAAAAAAACAGTACAAAAAAAGCTGATAAGAAGGAATAAAAAGAGGCAGGTCAACACTGTTTCTGGGGTTTATTTATAATCAAACCAAAAAATGAATAATAATCCATTAAACTAGGCACATCAAACAACATGGTACTCTTATTCCTCTCCTAAAAATACAGACAGGCAAAATCAATGTCAGCATTTCTGCATTCCAGATTCCCCTCAGATTTCAGGATCACCACACTGTAGCTGGTTTCTCTGGGAGGAAAACACCAGCACTAGCATATTCTGTGTGCTCTTGAAAACCAATTCAACATAATTACAAGTTTAACTCAAATTACTATGTAATTCCATTGCGAAATCTTCATCCTAACTACAATCCTTCATCTTTATGACTATCCACACATACATTACATAGGTGGCACACAGTTGCCTCAAAATACCCCTAGCAAGCCAACACATGGGGAACACAAATGCTTGTTCCACCCTGCATTTTTTTTTCTTATGTCCCCAAAGGAGGGGGAAGGAAATTGATGGAGAAAATAAAACAGCACTACAATGTTGCATCATATTCTCATCTTCTCTGGAAGACAAGTATGGAAAACGTATTTTACAATACCCTTCCACGTATCTTGCCAACTTCTTTTCTCACTTTGGGCTTTAATGACTCATACAGCTCATCATCCTGGTTTTGGCTGGGACAGAGTTCATTTTCTTCCAAGTAGCTGGTATAGTGCTGCATTTTGGATTCGGTATGAGAACACCATTGAAGGCACAGTGATGTTTGCCTGTTGCTGAGTAGGTCTTACCCTAAATCAAGGACTTCCCAGTGTCCCACACTCTGCCAATGAGGAGGTGCACAAGGAGCTGGCAGGGGCATGGCCAGGACAGGTGACCTGGAGTGGTCCAAGGGACATTCCATAGCACAGAATGTCAAGGACAATGTAAAACTGGGGGAGTTGGATGTGAGAGGGCAATCACTGCTGGGGAAAGGGCTGGGCTTGAGCCTGCAGGTGGTGAGCCATTGTACTGGGCATCACACGCCTTTCTTGGGTTTTATTTCTTTCTCTCTTTCGTGTTCTTTCTTTCCATTACAATCATTATTATATTTTATTTCAATTATTAAACTCTTATTTCAGCTCTCAGGTTTCCCCTTTTCTTTCTTCTGGTTCTCCTCCCCATTCCACCAGTAGGGTTGGTCGCCATCAGACCACAGGGTGAAGGCCCTAACTTTACTGAATCTGACTTCCCAAAACAAAAGACAATGAACCGTTTTCACAGGAAAGGCAAGGAAACAAAACCGATTTTGGGTAAGTAGAGACAGAAAATCCAGTGAATGACAAGTCTGACACTCATGCCTCTCCCTTCTGCTTCACTGCTTATTTACTTAACGAAATTAATTATATTTAATGCAAAGACGTCTCTATAATTTATTAATTTCCAAGAAAAATACAAACTGGTGAGGATTTCATCACTCACGTTGGACACAGACTCTCTGTAGTTCAGAAATCTGCACAACATGTGGTTAACAGTTAATTAATGAAAAAGATCTGGTTGATCATTTTGCTTGTTCACAGCATTCTAGCAGTCTCCAACACCCATAACCAGTAGGTATACACTGTCCCACAACAGCCATTCAAAATAGAGCTTTTCTGTCTGGGTTTTTGTCCTGTTTTTTTTCAAACCAAAGTACTAACTGGTGCATCTTTTATTATTTGCTAATCACTGGAATTGTTTTTGCAACCTAACAAACTGTACTCTTACTTGAATTCCATTTAGTATCAAGTGCAATGTTTAATCACTTTCAATTAAAACCACACTATTTTCTGGTCATCTGAAACACAGCAGAAGTAGTAAGGTAGACACAGATTTGACTGCGTACATGCCAATTTTAACTACCTTCTAAACAAGCTGTGATACATGCTGAGTTAATTTGCAATATTATTTGCAAAGGGAATAGCTTTGAAACTTGCTTTTCTCTTAGGTTGCTTCTTAGCCAGCTCTGGCTTTCCTCCTGTAAATGTTGGAAGAAAGACAGATTCTTCAATATAATTGTGAGAAAAGAGTGAGTGCAAAGCAAAACAATCTCATCAATATATATCTCCTTTCTATCTTCTAGCACAGTTTTTAAATTTCTTTAAAGCAGTCATGGTCCTATTCTTATCCTCAGTCTCTTCTATTGGCACCGCTCCATAGCTGTTTTCAGCAATCTCAGCATCAACTAACTGACAAAGGAACTTAGCAATACTTTGTGAATAGCACACACAGTTAACATTGTTTTTTTCTTCTTGTAAGACATGTTCATCTTGTACAGAAATGTACTCAAGAGCAACATTTTCTCTTTATAACCTTTTCCTGAAAGACAATTATATATAAGATGCAGCTCTGTAGCATATGAATAATATCCAGGTATGTATGCATACTTCTTTCCTGGGATATGCAAAGTAAACCCTTCTTGTGCAACAGAAATGTCAAGGATTTGTTAGTCAGGAGCTCTCTGTCATCCCTTTCCAGCTTTGGATTGTACTTCATGTCAATGCTTTTAGGCTCTAGCAGCAAGGAAG